TGGCAAAAGGCTGTGGGACAGGGCTGGGATAAACCACTGCTCTGCACCAATCCCAGCGTGCTGCAGCAAGGACTCCAAACGTAGATTTTTCAGCACTTTGACAACAAGTGCCTTCACACATGTACACACCCACACTTAGAATGATTCAATCAAAACCCTATTTTCCTTACAAAGGAGTTTTGATAGAAAACGTTCTATTTGCCCTAGTCAATTTGGCTAAAGCATCAGTCAAAATGTTTTCTGGAATTGACACCGTTGGTGGCAGAGCAGGCGAACAAGCTCTGAGATAATCTGCCTCCAAAGGCGGGTACTGACCTTTCAGTTGCATTATTTTTCTCGTTTAAAATAAAGGTAACTTTTAAAATAGTGTTACTTTTCTGCTGATGCTGCTGGAAGACGTGGAGCAAACAGGGCTGTGTCCCTGATACAGAATCTCATGGCCAATCTTAATATCGCTTAATTTTCAAATGAGGAATTTGGTAGTAAACAACCTTTCCGTTGTACACAAACATTTTTAATTTCATGCCCTGCTAATCATACATCTGTTAGAGTTCCTCTTCCATCCATTGCTGTAGCGATAATAAAAGAAAAAAACTCATGCTACGAATGTGGTTTGCCTAAAATGAAAACTGCATAATAATCGATTTCCTTCAGTGGGATGAGGGAGAGCAGCAAGAAGCAGAATTTACCCAATGAAGGTAACAGAAATACAGTTTCATGCCAACTGGTGGCCCCGTTCCCCAGCTGAGGGGTGGGTTACCACATTTCACGGGCACTGCCGCCACAGCCACCACTCCTGTTTGATTTTGAGCCTTTTCTGCACTGCTGATACATGACTTTCACCTTTTTTAGATTCCTCCTATGCCCATAGCCATGTTGAGCCAACTCCAGGTCAGAAATGCTGCCCCTGTGGGAGTTACAGAATGAAAGAGCACTGGGAATCCACTTGGTGCCCCAGGTAACACGACACAAAGACATAGGGGCAGAGGCACAGGGCTCTGCTATGTCTGGATGGCCTCCAGCCCTCCTAACAGCATCCCCTCCCAAGGTTGGTTTCCAAAGAACAGTTATCTATGTAAACTCCGCTTCATTGTCATCAAGAAACCCAGTTGTTTGAGTAATCTCCTCAACTGCACCCCACGTGCACGTTACAGCCATATATCACAACCAAAGCATCCCAGCCTCCCGGACACAGCAGGCTTGGGGCAGCCATTGGGAAACATGGTGAGGGGATCCAAATCTGCCTGTACCACCTTCAGGACTAGGTGACCACAGTCAGCATCAGAACACATACTGATACATCTTATCATCAATACGCAAAAGCATTCAGCTCTGGGTTTCTCAGACCTCTAATCAAAGTGTATTCAATCAAATAACCCTACCAGAATTACCAGTGAAAAGGGATGGGAAGGAATAAAAAAGACTTTGTTGAGCAAAAGTACTCCAAGACACATTTGATGTAATAGTCATATGATTAACAAACTGTCATATCAAAGTTTCCTGCAAAGTAGGAACACTCTGACAGTTCATATTTTAAAAACTGACATTTTGATTCATTACTGTAAATAGCACTCTGTATTAAATATTGTGACAAGGCATACAGTGTATTTTTTGAGCTCTGTAACATTTAGGAAGTACTGGGTTTTTGAAAAAACAAAAAAAAAAACCAAAAAAAAAAAGAACACGTGGAATATCAAATGCAGTTAAAGAAGAACTCCAAGAACGCTTCTAGAGGAGAGGATCATTTCTTCTGAGATAACCTATGTCCCTGCCACCATCTCAAGCACTGCTGGAAACATGGCCCACAAGGATCTTAATGTACTGTTTGCATAATAAAATAGGGAATTGTCTCACGGAACAAAAGAGCTATAAGAAAAGTGGCTATATTAAATAATGTAAAATTACTCAATAGCAAATCATCCCGAAGCTGGCATTAGGAAAAGAATGCTAAAAGGAGCTGAATTGCCACTCAGACCATCTGCGAGCGCAGGATGACAAGCAAAACAAAGCTATGTTCAAATGACTGCCCAAATGTGCATCTCACTCATCCCATCAGTCTCTACAGGTTTTTGCCCCTTCCTTTGTCCACATCTCTCATGCCAGGTGAGGAGATGGGCAAAAATGAGGTCTGGGGACACATCAGCTCATGGGTCCCTTCCTTGACTGTCCAGCACAACCAACAACAGCATGCTGGATTCATAAGCAATGCAAATGTTTTGCATTTCATCAAAAGCAAGACAGGTGATGGAGAAATTAAAAGCAAGCCCCAGCTAATGCCGAATGGCCTGCCAGAGCAGCAGGAGAAAACCTGAAGCTGCCTAGCCCTTTTGCAAGATGCTCAGGTGTTATTACGACTGCAGTCAAGGGCTTTAGAAAGAAAAATGGTTACCGTTACTGTTTCTTACAGCTGGCTGCAAGTGGAGCTCTGGGCTCAGTCTACTGTGAAAGAATGGATATGCTGTCATAAACAGAGCAGAGAGCCCGGACTGGGCCATGGCAGAGCAGTCACGCGCACTGAAGATGGATCACGATGCTGCTTTAACATGGGGCTGCTCCAGCACAGCCTGCCTTTCCCCAGGAGCAGCCACATACCACTCATGTGCTGGAAATCTTGTGGATGGGTATGCATGCCAGCAAGAGTGGTAGTAGTAGTGGTCTAGCCAGACATCCAAAGCATATTGGCACTGCTATAATTTGTCCATTCACCATTATGTTTTCCTGAAAACACCCATATGCTTTTCCTGCAGTTCCCATATGCTTTTGCAAAGAGAAACAAAAACATTTTCTTAGTTGCGAGCGATTGATCGCCGCATATTTTGCAGAAGTCAAATAGAAAAACAACAACAAAAACGCAGTCAGCTGCTTCCCCCTCCCTTTCCTCTCTGTTCATGGAGGGAACTGTGAAGAGCAGGAAAAATTTCAGCCCACAGCAAAACACACAGCTCATTTTTTCGCACTGCAAGATATTCTAGGAATTACAGGAGGAATCTTCATTAAAAACAAGCTATCAAAGATCTGGCAGCCGGTGGCATTCCAGACAGTAATTCAGTGTTGGGTGTTTGTCTGCTAGCTCAGGTCCTCGCAGAGGGAGCCCAGCACATTAGGTAACAGCCCACAGGAATCCAGGCTCCTGGAGCAGCACATTAACCCAGCCTGGGGAATGCTGCCATAAGGAGGTTACAGCCTTTCTCATCCTAATTTGATGCCAAATCTATCGCTGAGGCCCCCTGCCACGTGCTTCCGTGCTGCCAATGTAAATCCCAAGGCAGCGAGCAGGCAGGAGGCTGGGTTCAGCCCGGAGCAGGCGTGTGGGTGTACAAGTATGTGTGTGTCAGGGCTGGAGTGTGTGGGAACCAGGCCTCTCCGCTCAGACTCATTAGGGAACGCGGTGGACCCGGGGCCAACGTTCAAAGAGCGAAACATTTCTCTGGAGATAGATTAGCGTATGTTCTTCTTTACATAAATAAAATTAAAGAGAGAATCGTAATACGGACAAATCAATTAACTTCTGAAATGCCAAGGGCACCAAATGTAATAGCAGAGGAGATGGGAAGAGCTTCATTACGGAGACACTGAAACACTGTACAGCCTTTCTTCCTTGGAAAAGAAATTCAGTTGTTGCTGCATGAAGTTCTGATTTTAGCCTTGTTTTTCTCCATTGCTACCTGAACATCACTGCTTCCTTACCCAAATGGCCACAGACATACCTACATATTGAGACAACCCCAGGCGAGGACAGAAGAGCATGGGAACATATCTGAAGACTGTGAAGATACCTGGGGGCAGATGCCCAAGGACTACTGCAGTGCTTGACACTGCAGCGTGAGCCTTCTATGGGGTAGAGTCTGGGGCTGACCTTTTTTTTTTTTTACAGGACACCTTTCTACCAGCATAAAGACATTCAGCAATGCAGTCCGATGCTCTCCAGCACTCAAGCAAATTTAACCAGAAATGTTCTTTCCAAAGTTAGGGTTTCCTACAGTGATCTAATCTCTCACAAAGCCTAATGAGAAGCTGGATGCAATAGGCCAAGAGCCCAATTTTCCACTGGAACAAAGCTGAAAAAACAGTCAAGAGAAGAGAAATCAATCTCTTCAGCAGGGTACACAGTAAAAAAAAAAAAAAACACAACACAATTTGTCGGAGACAGCCTGCTTGGCAAGATACGTTTTATGATATGTTTTTATTCTGAGAGGAGTTGTGAGCACCTGCATGTCTGACTTCACAATTCACAAATATATTAATGCTGTTCCTTAAGCTTTCAGTAGAGAGCAAACTGAACGCCATCTCATTTAGTCAACAGTTTACAAGGGTGGGCTTCTCCCTAGATTTCATATGTACAGCAACACATTGGGTCTATTAAACTTAGCTGGGAAAGCTGCTGCAGAGAGAGTGAGAATAGCAGAAGTGCTGCCATTAATCTTCAATAACCCAGCAACTGGGAAGACCAGGCCTTGAACCAAATTCTGTTCTCTTGCTATTAATCTCCTGTCCTCTGCTTATTAATCCTTTGTCTGTCTTCTTCCTTCAACATTTATTAATGCCCCCAACTGTTCACAGTAAACAGGATGCTGAGATCTCATCTCTAGCTGGCCATAATTTACAAGAGAGAAAAAAAGTAACAACAACAACAACAAAAAAAAAGCAAGAAGGGGGTGGAAAGAAGGAAGGAAGGATGTGGATTGTGTTACTGAAAGGGCAGAATGAAAAGACACTACCATTTAATGACACAGCAGGGTAAAGAAGAAGCACCATCGATCTGACCTGGAGGTTCACCCTCACTATGTTTTAATCATCACATCACAGGTCCAGACCCAGGCCTAGAAATAGTACAGCCACCTCGAGTCTCTTGATTTCATGGCCCCCACCACCACAGGCTCTGGAGAGTTGCCTGTCATTTGCTGAATGACCAGATCACACCTGGCAAATGCAGTCTCAGGGTCTTCACGCTCTGCCCAAACTCAGCTGCTTGCAAAGGCCCCGAGATGAGACCCACTCACCTGGAAGCACAGCAGCCCCGTCAGGCACCGAGACGGACGTACAGACAGCTTCTTCCCAGGGACCTCTGCAGATGGAAACAGAAAGGTCAGAATTAACCTTTTTGCAGAAAGTAAAGCAAGCTGGCAGTGACACATCACAAAGAAAACAACCCTGGAAGGGCCCATAAGCCAGCCACCCTCCCTTGCAGAGCGGACCACAACTGTTTTTCCTCTGATACAACTCTGTGTCAGTCTGTCCCCAGTTTGATCCATATAAGGGCTTTTCACACATTGGCAAGACAAATCAAATCTGAGCGAACACCAGAGTAATAGAGTAACTGAGGTTTATTTGTCTTAAATCAAGACAGAGCTGGTGAAAGGCACTGACGTAAGGGCTCCAGGTAACACCATCTCTTTCAAAGCCTGGCCAGACATGCTTCTACCTGCTGTGCTTCAAAGGCCTCTTCTTCCTGCTACGGTCAGTGTGACTCACCCACAGTGCTGCCTGTGCCGTGTGGGCACCAAGAAGAGCTAAAGGGAGGTGGGATGCACTAAACACACATCAGCTGTGGCCAAACCCTGCCTCCACCTGCTTCCCTCTGGGTGCCTCCAAAGCAAAAGGGAAAAGTCAGGTTTTCCAGGTAACCACCTGCTGTGCTTAACCAGCAGCCTTTCATACTTCCAGTACCTTGATAGCTGTGCCTACTCTTGTGTTTGCCATTTCCTTTCATCTCCATCCCAGATGGAAACATTGGCAACAGTCAGCGATGACCCAGTGCACCTCTGCCCCTCTCCCCATTGCCGCGGGGACCAGAGCAGCTCCTGCCTGCCCCATGCTCCCACATACAATGCCCTGTCCTTGCAGCAGAGCCAGGTCTAGCTGGGAACAGTGTCACCCTCCTGGGCAGCTGGAGAAAGGGGGGCAAGGGATGAAGAACAGCAGCGGCTGCTTCAGACCCTCCTGAAGCACATGGAAATCCACTGAGGAGCTGCTTCCTCTGACGCTGTCTATTCCTTTCATATTTGCCATGACAAATAATTCATGTTAACATTTTTTCAAGCGCTGTAACCCCATATCAAGTAACAGCAAAGAGACAGACAGGTGTCCTGACCACAGAGGCAGCATATGTGAACAGTTTGGAATTTACTATTATTATTTCATAAAGGGGGAAACAAATCCTACAGACTTTTCTGTGCATGATACATTTTCTGCTCTGTTTGATGTTGCTTTCAAGCTGAAGACTTCAAATAGCTAACCCTAACCTATGCCTCAAGCCTGCTTTAAACTAATGCCCCTTATGTGACCAGAAATGAATGCATGGTGAATCACTAACCCCACACACAGTCGGCTGATGAGCGGTGGCCCATGCCTTCCATGCCTCCCAAGCACTGCATGGCCGTGAACACATTGAGATAATTCAGCCTGGTAATTCAGCACGACCAGTTCTGTGTTTCTGGAGCTCGAAAGCACAAGCTCCAAGCCAACTGCCCAGCCACACAAATTCAGAGCAGAGGAAAACATAACTACTGGGGTTTTCTGCAAAGCACAAACACATAACCTGCAGAGGCTGCACTTCCACTCTCTGCCTGCCTTTGGGAGATGCTTAAAAGAAGCTGCATTTTAATTACTAGTCCAATCAAGGGAATCTAAACTTGACAGCAAGGTAAAGGGCTAACCCAAAGTTACAGATGTAGGTGTATATGGGGCCCAGCTCTTTGCTTCTTTGTTGACATTCTGGCTTTCAGAAATTAAATTAAAATCCCATTTAACTTCAGAGAGATTGCAACTCGCATCTACAGTGCTGCTGAAACCTCAGTTGAGAGAACTCCACTGAAATCGATGGAGTCATTCAGATTTTCTCTGGTTACAGACCTGTAGGCCAATAAACATTAGCGTTCATCCAACCTCCAGCTAAATACTGTCTACTAGAAGACCATTATCTTTATCATTGATTTGGATAACTTATTTAAAGCATGCTTGAAGACTCATTAGCATCTTTGGGTTTTGGTGGTTCTATTTGTAGTGTTAAGCCCCAGCAGCTATTAAACACTTGAAAACAGCATGTTAGCAGTTTACAAACAGAGCTGGAGATATATTGTTTTCTGTTTTTCATTGGGAAATTGGTAAAGTGAAAGAAGCAAAGAAAATATAGAGAAAAAATGAAAATGAGCTGTGCGTACCCACTGAAAAAAGATCATCCAAGTTATTTGATAGATTTGATAGAAGTTAAAAAGAAATACAGGGATGAGAAGAGGAAAATCATAGCAGGAAAACCCAACCCTCTCCTCCTTTTGAGCCTTACCACATTACGTCACACCTGGTGCGCACAAGGTGCACCCCAGGGAAGGGCAGTTTCACTGGCAGCAGCAGCTGGGTTTAGGTTGGGCTCCTCTCCCTTAAGCCTTTCTGAACACCTGCAGTACAGCCTCCCAGCAGTGGGCTCAAGCTGAGCACACTCCCAGCAGCAGATGGATGCTGCCAGCACGTCTTACAGCTCTCTCCAAGGGTGGATGCTACCAACCATCACTGCATCCCTACCGTGGGCATAAGATCTTTTTGTTTAAACCAGCTCACCAAAGTGAATTGGTTCCCTTGGGCACAAGGCCACCCTTGTAACTGAGCTCCTGGTCAGTGTTGTGTTGCTATAGCTTTGCTGAAGAAGGAGAATCTTGTTGGTTTGTTTGGCTTTCAGTTGCCCTGCCCACGTTCCACTGCCAAGCATAAGATACAAGCCAAGCTTCAGACAGGGAGAAGTGGAAGAGGCATTGAAACATGCTGCCCAGGGAGGTGGTGGAGTCACCACCCCTGGAGGTGTTCAAGCAAAGGGCAGATGTCACAATGAGTGACATAGTCTAGAGTGGTCACACGCATGGGGGAGATGGTTGGACTAGATGATCTTAGTGATCTTCCCAACGTTAATGATTCTACAACTCTAGGAGTCTTACCCAACAACCAAATGAAAAATTGTCAGGTTAAACCACAACTTTGGGAAGGACAAAAATAAAAGGTATAAATTACAGTAGTAGTAATATTTTGATAAATCAAACAAACCAGCAAATCAAGGACAAAACGAGGGATATGGAGAAGCGGTCTCGGTCTCTGCTACTGCTTCAATGGCACAGAGCAGCTCCAAGCCACAACCAAGCCTCAGGTGCTATAAGCAAACCAGAGAAGCCTACCAACAACACAGAGCAAGCACAGCCCTTCTGTACTCTTGGCTCCTGAACCCTGAGAGCAACTCATGCAGCATGGCACACAGGGAGAGGGTGCCCAGCAGAGCTGCTCCCACAGCAGCAGTGGGCAATTCCTTCCCTGTCTGTTGAGGACCCATCACAGCAGCTCCCTGTTTGACAAAGCCTTATTTCCACCTTTCCCTACTCCTATGCAGCAGCTTCTCAGACAGACCAAAGAGAAAGTCAGGCACTGCTCAAATAAGCACCTGGATCTACAAACAACAGATTAAATTCTCAAGCTACAAAACTATGTTTTAGCAAAAGTGCAATTGGACTCCGTGTACTTGTTACATTTCTAAATATACTCTGGTTGTCAAGACAACAAAGAGACTGATGGATCTCTAAAGCGTACTGTATCTATTTAATTGTCAGCATTTCAAACTGACTCGAGGAGGGGAAAAAAATGCTGCGTGATAAGTCTAATCGTCATGGTTACCACTGGCTAACCCCATAATAAAAATATATATATTCTAGCTGAATGTGCCAAGCCATGTGAGGAGCAGATGGGAGACATTCTCATTACTGCAACAGCCTCCACTAGAAAACTAAACTTGAGGAAGGATGCGAGAGACTTTACAGAGCTCTCAGACACAACAGACGCCGTGGGCTGCAGCTTCCCACCCGCCTGGCAGCAGCCACTTGGGCTTTTCCTGAGCCCATGGGCTGAGCCCACAGGGCTGGGGCTCCCTAACTCACCAGCATTCCTCTTTGGGGAGTGCTGTCCCTCCCAGTAAGGTGCTTCAGATGCGAGAACGTTACTTCTTTAAAGCTGATGACAAAATGTAACATGCAACTGCCTTGGATTCGCACTCCCACTCTCACCAGCTCGCTCTGATCCCTTCAGGCAGCCTGCAAGCATTGCTCCAACTGTTAACAACCAGAAGAACAGCTATGGCCAACCTTGGAGAAGAGGACCAAGCAGGAAGAAGCAGCCAGAGGTCAGAATGGTTGATGTGATACAGCCCCACAGGCTCTGCACCCCAGCAGACAAGCATAATCCAGCACCACTACTCCTGTGCAGTCCTTCCTGAAAGAAATGCTTCATGGAAAATCCTCAGATGTTGTTTTTTAACACTGAAGACTTCCACAACAACGTCTAAGGTATCTACCTGGGTGTAAAATTCTTGTACAGTCCAAACTTTCCTTGCCTGATCAAACTCATCCAACCTCACATTTCTCAATTTCCTTTCTTCAAACTCAAATCTAACTTGCAAGGCAAAGGCACAAGTTTCAAGGTCAGGCTGGATGGGGCTCTGAGCACCTGATGGAGCTGTAGGTGTCCTTGTTCACTGCAGAGTTGGACCAGATGGCTTTAAAGGTTCCCTTCCAACTCAAACAATTCCATGAGTCTAAGTTTGAGCCAGGCATAAAAGCAATGGAAACCAACTCATATTCACCTGACCAGCGCTGATGTCAATGAATGATCAGTTTCCAACTTGTCTGAAGCTTCCCCAACCTTTCGGTTTTTGTTTGTTTGTTTGTTTGTTTTCTGTTGTTGTTTTTTGGGTTTTTTTGACAGAAACTACAATGAAGTTGAATTATCCTTAAAAATTTGCTCCAAAATGCTTACTTCCCTAAAAGCTCTGTATCTCCACTGACAGTTTCATGGAAACTAGATGGCATTGCCTAAGTCCCATTTCTAGGGGTGATCTGATTTGAAAATACCACTCAAGAAAAAAACACCATTTTCCAAGCCTCTCAAGCAAGGGCCTGACTTTGTGATATTCTCCTTGGAGCCTGCCCTTGCTCACTATCAAGATGAACAATTTCTGAATTCCAAATATGAGCATCTTGGTGACAGATATCGAGCTTTCGTGCCTACCAATACTGTCACCATGCGGTTCACCATCAC